AGGCTACTCCTGTTAGTCCCCCAGGAGTCCCTCTGCCACGACGCCCCGGCTGGCCGCTGCCCTGCCCAGCTGTCGGGGCCCAGCCATGGCGCACAGGGGGCATTTCCCGGCATTGCTCCGGGGTGAGACCCTGAGGCCCAGAGAAGGGGGGGCTGATTCTCAACGGTGCTGAGACCCCCCAGGTGTCAGCAGGCGCTGGATGGCCTAAGCTCCTCCCCAGCCTGGGGCCCCGCCCGGCTGGGCGTCGGGCCGCGAACGGGGGAGCTGGAAACTGGACTGGGGCCTGGCATCCAAGGGCTCTCATAGGGCCATGGCGCTGGGCAGCAGCCTCCCCCCACAGCCCGGCCCTGCCCAGCCAGCCAGCCTTGCTCCCCTTGGGCTGAGCCCCCCCTCACTGAGCGCCCAGCTCTGGCTCAGTGTGCATGAGCCCTCGGCCCCTGCGCCCCCCCGAGTCCTGGCCGCCACCCCTCTCGGAGGGTCTCTTGGCCTCCTCCATCCCCCAAGCACGGGGCTCCATGGTCTTCCCCACTGGGCCACCTGCCACCCACAGGGCCCCTGTGCCAGCCGCACGCCACGCAGGGAGCAAGCGGAGCCCCCGGTCTGCAGGGAGCTGTGGTGGCGGCATGTCGGGGACCCCCTGATCCTGCACCCCATCAGCAGCAAGATGAGAGTCCGCCAGCCAGTAGAACAGGGAGGGGGTATTGAGGGAGGGTTTATTGCTTCTCCGGGATACAGCCCAGCACAGACGGGATGTGGCTTCAGGAGCCAGGCGCTGGCAGCCCTAGACCCCTTGGGGCAGGAGTGCCCAGCCCCCCTGAACTCCCAGCACCCTGCTTAGTCTCCTCTCTCCATGTCATCCCAGCCAAAAACTGCCCAGCTCCCAGGCCCTGCCCCCAGGCAGGTGTCCGTCTCCACCTCCCTCCCTTTGTCTCTCCCCTGGGAAGAGCCTTGTTATCTGCTGTGACGGCGCGTTGGGGGTTCCCCGTCTCCTGCACCCCGGAATGGCACAAACAGACTGCACCAGCCAGTGGAATTGAGGGTGGTTTATTGCTCCTCCAGCACAGCGCAGCACAGATGTA